TCGGCATTGTATGGAGAGGTCACAGACAAATTCAAGCGAAAAGTTGAGTACGGCATGATCTTGATTCTGTGCCCCATAATAGACATTTTATGGAGACTAGGTTGACGATTGAAGAGGACAAAGTCTCCATCATTCAAATGACGCTCCACCTGAGACCACAATAGTAGAAGTTCAGAAGTGATTCTTAAATAGGAAAGACCCAGATCAAAACTTATCAGAATAAAAGAGCGATGCCTTATATCCAAGCTCCAAATGATGATCACTGCTTTTCTTCAAGTAACGAAGATCAAGCCTTTGCCCATCATCTCGTATTATATACTTCGCACCAGTTTTACCAGGTGGAGGATGGGGCCCATTCTCAACAAGCTCCTTCAACCTGTTTTTTTTTTTTAATTGAAGAATATTCCATTAATAGAAAATAGAATGAACTGAAGAAGAAAAGAAAAAGGTAGAAAAGCACAAAGATGAGAAAATAAACAAATAAAGTTTACCTTTCAATATTATATGGAGTCACAGTCTCTGGGTACGTGAGATTCAAAGCAATACTCCATGGTACTCCTAATTGATCAATGTTTATGTTTGGATCAGGAGTAATCACCGTTCGTGCCGAGAAATCAACTCGCTTCCCCATTAAATTTCCTCTTATTCTGCCTTCCTTTGCCTTAAGCCTACTACATATTGATTTAATAGGCCTCCCTGATCTCTGAGTAGCCTGTTCAGTAAAGAAAAGGTTCAGCATATGCATGAAAAAAAAAATATCTTACCAGTTAACAGAAGTTTATATGTATATACATACAAATAAAGACAACATAAAAGCATATAGCTACTATGAAGAAATATGTTCCCATGTACACATACCCTCGGTAGTCCAGGCAACTCATTGTCAAAATATGTGGCTATGTGGAATTGCAACAGTTGTGCAAACTCTGAAATTATATGAGCAGGTGACCCATTTCTTTCCTGTCTCCTCAGATTCTCATTGTGACGAATAATCATGGCTAACTGATGTGTTAAATCATCCTGGACACAGAAAACAAATGAAGTCAGTGATCACCAACAACAAATGCCTAGATTATCTCTTCAGCGACTAAAATTGTCAGCTTGCTACTGGTCTCTAAACAGAGAAAAACTGCACAAAAGAAGCTTACCTCACTCCTGGATGAGGTGTCCATCATCACAGAGGGTCTCACAGGTTGTGGAGGAATAGGCAGAACTTGTAAAATCATCCAGTCAGGACGAGCATATTTAGGGTTCAATCCCAATAACTGGGAGTCCTCATCACTTATCCTTTTTAAGACACTAAGAACCTAAAACAAATTCAACAATACGTTAGCATCATGCAAGTGTGATAAAAGGAAGAATCTGTCTAAATGAAGTATGCCAACCCTTTCTGCAGTAAGTGTCTGTTTCCTTTCCACAGGTTCAGGAAGCTGTTCCTGGTCATCACTTTTCTTCCGTTGGGCTTTGTACTCTGCATTCATTTTCATACCCTCTATAGAGAGCTTGGGCTGCTGAGCACCACAGCCGCCGCGACTTTTCTTTACAGGTTCTTCAGATTCCTGGCCTTGGACATCAATTTCATCACCACCATCACATTTGGTTTTGTTTTTGCATGCATCCAAAATCTTTTTTAGCCTATTTTTTGGGCTCTTAATTCTCAAAGCCTGCTTAAACTTGTGATCATCCTGCAAAACAAAGTCGCATAAAACTTGTTACGATTAACAATTGTGTAGACTTAAGCCTTAAGATTTTTTTTTGAAACAAAAACCTTTTCAGAATCCTTGAGGCAAACACAGCCAACACAATGAAACATCAGCAAATAGGTAAGAGAAATTGTTGATCATTAAGAATTAAATTTTACGGAAAGCAAGCCTTGCCATAATCGTTGTCTCGAAAATAACATATCCCATATAAAGGAAACTTTACGGTAATAGCTCATTTCATGACAAAAATGAAACGCGCACGATTAAAGGTTTGTGCCCAGGAAACACTCCTTCAATATGCACACATAAAAGAAGAAACTAATTCCTCACTCCTATTTTTCCTAATCATAAGAAGTGTCCGCTGTTAAACTTCATCCTAATTAATCTTTTTCCTCTCTATTTCTTCCAACAAAACACTTTGTTGATGACAGACTCGTTTTATGCATTAGAAAATCCCATACACCACTGAGGATAGAAGGATATGCATTGTATTCGTTCAAGCAACCAAAATAACCATCAAGTTTACAAACGGGGAATACAACAGCCAAATACTCCCAAATGACCTTTCAATCTATCTCAAAAGAGTAACATGCTTACCAATTTAATGTTTGCCAACCTAAATAACGTTGTTCTTGAAAGTCAATTAAACAAAGCCGAAGACTAGTTTGCAGAGATAATTTAAGTCTTCTAAGTACCTCATCGACTAGAATTTTTGAGCAATTGAAGCAAACACATCGCATTACGGACAACACGGTCTTCATGAAACCAATGTGAAACATTGGTTTGGCAAGCTCAAGGTGCCCAAAATGGCCCGGGCATTCAGCCATGTTGGCCGTACATGTTTCACACTTCATTTTTCTGTCAATTGTACCAAGCCGAGGATCACTTAAACCTGCCGTCTTGGGTTTGCCTCCCAACATGGTCTCGCTGTGCTCAATCTGCACTACAGACATTTGCCTCTGCAAACAAAACACATTAAAGGTTTCAGCATTCTCCGATTCACCTAAATACAATATTCATCAAACCCTAACACTTCATCCAATCACTACTCAATCTAACAAACTTAGTAAAGAGCTTTCGAATTTGAAAGCTAAATACAATATTCATCAAACCCTTACACTTCATCCAATCACTACTCAATCGAACAAGCTCAGTAAAAGAGCTTTCGAATTTGAAAACTCGCAAGAGAAAGCAGAAGCATAAGCAGTTACAGGATTTCCATTCCTTTTTCCATTAATTTCCTTTCTCAGCAAACAAACAGACGAGAATAGAAAGATAAAACGAAGAATAGAGAGGAAACGGAAATTACTATTTCGTCCGGGCTCAGAATGCCGAACTGAACACAGCGGACTTTGGCAACCTCCGCCGGCGAGAATGGGAAGCGTATATCCATGGCGATCTTCGATCGATTATGGAAAGAAGAAAAAACCTAGGGTTTTTCAGACAAGGTGCGAGTGAGTGAAATTCAGTGGAAATAACGAACTGTTTCTCTTTATATTTTGGGTTTTCTTTATGTTTTGTTTTCTCTTTCTATTTTTCGGTTTAATTTGAATTCTGTTTATGGCGACTGCGAGAGATCGATGTTGCTCGATCTTCTCTGGAACTCTTCGAGAGAGTCTCCAACAAAATGAGAGAGAATGAGGCACTAAGCGTATATTTATAGGCGAAATAGGTGAACCTAGGGGCTTATTAAAAATAAAAAAATGATAATAATAATAATTTTTTAAAGACGAAATTACCCTCTAATTTTAACCATGGTTGCCTTGCCTCCTCCATATGCGTGGCGGCAGAGCAAATCGAACTTATCTGTAATGATAGGTGAAATGTCAATAATATCCTCATGCGACAATATTTACATTTCTTCTGTGTTGGGGTGAGCTGGGCACATAATGAAACAATATCTTTAGAACAGAAGGGTACAAGAATAACATGAGCCCATACAATATAGGCCCAATGTCAACTCAAATATTTATTTTTTTTCTTTTGTGTATAGCATGATCAACTCAAGTTTGCCATGGGATGACATGGTAGCACAATTTTTATTTTTTTATATATGGTGAATAAGAAATACAAATCCTCACAATTAAGATCCCGTTTGGGTATGCTTTTGTTAGAAAGCACAACAAATTTTGTTTGATAAAAATTCAATCGATTTCTGAAAAAGTACTTGAAAGTACTTTATAATACTTAAAAGTACGAAAACATATTTGTATACACATAAACATTTTTAAGTTTTTATGCTAAATATTTGGAAATCTTCAATTGTCATAAATTTAAATAATGAAAATCTAAATTCCGTCATTTTAGAATTCTATGTATTTTTCAATTCATTCATCCAAACAAAGAGTTATTGAAAAGGGAAGATTTTCTTTTTTATTGAAAAAGGGAAAGACTTTGGATGTATGCTACAACAAATGCATTAAATTGTGTGTATTAATAATATGAATAAATACACTGATAAATGTTAGAGAGGAGCAAATGCTACTCATTATAGCATCGAGAGAGTAAATATAATTTCACTAATGGTGTGTTTACTAATCAGGAATTAGAATTCTCATTAGGAATTGAATTCCATCTATGGAGGATTCCTGTGTTTACTTCACATCAATGAATTGAAAAGTAAGTGGAGCCTATACAAAATTAGGAATTGAATTCCTGATTTTGGAGGAATTCAATTATTGAGTGGGAGATTGTATTATAATTTCTGGAAAACTAACTCACTAGAAATTCATCTTATTTACCCATTATATCCTCACACAATTTTAAAAATTCTAAATTTGTCATATACTTTAACCTAACAACGAAAACATTTTAGTAATTAACACTACTCATATCCCAATTCCATATAATTTAGTAAACATGCCATAAATACAATTATGCTTTCACATTATCTATTACTCTCATATCCCTGTCTATTTTACAACACATTTTACTCTTATTTATAGTTTTTGCTTTTTAACTCATTTTTTAAAATGATTTAAAATTGAGAATATATATATATATGGACAATCTTGGTATTTCATCATGACCAAACACGAGACCTAATTATGCCCCAAATTCCAAATGGCCAATCAAATATTAGAAAATTGGCTGTACTTATTTGCTCGCAATAGATGGGTCGGGTTGTATTTTCCCATTGGATCACCCATCGCAGCTGTGACGGGGTCCACCTGATTTTCCACGCCACGTAGCCAAACGCGGTTTGGAAAATTCTCCTCACCTCTCTCCCCGTCAGCTCAAAAACCAAACGACAAAATGCGAAACGTCTTCTTCTCCAAACCCAAATTCAACTCAACAATGGCTTCCGATTCGATCTACACCTGCACGGAGTGCGGGGCAAACCTGAACCTGAGCGCCTCCTATCTCTACCCACCGGACTTCTTCTTCGAGGCCGGCAACAAGGGAACGCTGTCGTTTTCGTGGGTCGACAGCACCAAGTTCAGGTTCGAGAAGGAGGACAAGATCAGGCCCTTTTTCGAAACCAGAAACTACTGGGGCATCCAGAGGACCAGGACCAAGATCAAGTGCAACGGCTGCGGGCGGCTCGTCGGGCATATCTACGATGATGGGCCCCCCATGACTGACAGTCCAGGTCAGTTCCACATGGGGCCCAGCCAGGTCATTCCCAGAGCTGCTAGATATAGATTCAAGACCAAGGCCCTTCGTGTTTCATCGTCTGGGACTTAGTTGGAATTCTGAGAATTGTTTCTGTAATGTTTGAAGTTGTTTTTCTTTAACATACTGTAAAGGGTCTTTTGTGTTTTTGATTCTGTTGATTCTATATACTTTGTCTTGTTGTTGAAGAAGATCGTATTAAATTTGTAATTAATCTTAAGTCTGAAAATTTTGATATAATTCTGGGTTCCCACAAAAATTATTGCATTAAAAACAGCAAAATCCAGGTGCATTTTCTGGGAAATTTGGAAATAAAAAATAAAAAAATCCCCTGTTTCTCATGTTGTTTCAATTTGAGGCTAAAGCCGTGGACTTTTCGTTTTGGGCAGGCAGCAGCCTATTTTCTTAATGGTTGAAGGACAGGAATCCAGTTATGAAATTAAAAAGATGATAAGCAACTAAAAGCACATTTGTTGGTGGACTTTTTTGGGGTTGGTCAATTTTTTTGGATGCTTGGAATTAAGAACATTCTGCCAAAATATTTAGGTGGGGAGTTACTGCAATCTAAATTCTCAATCTTACTCGAAGTTTCGATCTGCAACTACCAGTCAATTTTTCATTGTATTTTGTGCTTCTTCTTCACGGGCAACACTGGCAGGCTCTAGCTAACTGATATAAAATTAAAATTCAATCCCCCTTTGTAAAATGGCTGATTAGAGAATAGAAATGGGCGCTGTGACTGGAAAACGAAGCTGTCAGTCATGTTTGAAAGTTAGGTTGGAGCAGTAGCTATGGAGGGTTGGTCGTGAAAATCGATATCCAAGACTTTCAATCATTAGTTATTCCTTCCCCCATATTGCAATCTTTCACAGATAGAGCAGGCACCGTTGCGAATTCAAGTAGGCAAAAGGATGAGCATGAAGATGAAGCAAATAGTGGAGGCACCGGCATCACCGCCTCCACCACCACCACCACTTCCAAGGTTCTGGGCTAAGAAGGATGCGCCACAGAGTGTGACAAAGCGAGAAATTGCCAGGTTCTGGTTTCAGAAGCGCATTGAGGAAGAGGAGCACCTCCTCGCTGCTATCAAGGCTGCAGCACGTATTCGAGCCCTCAAGCTATCGGTAAGATTTTTCACGACACAAGTTAAAAAGCCATGCATTCAAAAGGGACTTTGGCTAAAATTTTAAGAGAGATGATAAATTCTTCATTGCAGCCTAGTTTTTGCAACTATGCAGAATCTCTTGGCAAAAGAAAAGACTTCAAAATGAATTGTTAGGAGGGTAGGCTGAAAGAAGCATTTGAATTTCTTACATTTGCTTAACTTGTTGAAGGCGTGTGGTGTATAGGAGGAAGATTACAGAAGTTTTGAGGAGTCCTTGAACGACGACGACAAAGCCAACGATAAGGATAGCTCTGCTGCAGCCACTAATGACAGCAACAAGGATGGAAACAACGACGAAGTTCGCGTTGGGATTAAGGACTGGTGAGTTAGTTTGTCTCAATCAATCAAATGGCTTAATCAAGTTCACTAATAAGCCTGGTTGAAAATTCTCAAAGTTCTCTCAACAGAGATTTTAAACAAACATGTTTGCAGGTGGACAAAGAGCAAGTATGCATACTTGAACCAGCCAGCCATAGAGTCCATGGAGCCTCCGAAAAGGCGCACCTCCACGTATGTTCCCAATTGTTTTGCCTATAAGCCCACCCCTCTCTACCCTACCTCTCTCGGTGTGTTTTAGAACAGCTGATCAGCAGCGGCTTCAATTGACTGGACTGAAAATGGTTCATGAATTGTATGTCTATTTGGAATAAGTAAAGGTTTGCAGCCTTTGCAAGCATTGGTTTCATCATGTGGTGTATTTCTAAACAAAACCACAGAATTTAATTGGGATGTAGTGTAAAGAAAAGAGTCCCTTTGTTTGTTTGGTCTGTGAGTGCAGTGCAATGTGCAGGTCATGTCATATTTTTCTGTTTCTGTTCAGCATAACAGGATGCTGTCTTTCTGAATATTCTTAAAATTTTGTCTAGTCTTTTCTGCTCAAAATACATGCTGGAAGGTCCAAATTCAAATGTTGGATTGTTAGCAGCCAATCCCAATTAACAAGAATATTAACATCAGTCTGGCCTAATCTTGACTGTAGCAAACAGACATCAAGTACCCTTCCTAACTTCACTGAAATATGTATAGAATTTGTAATTGTAAACCCCAAACATTTTGAGTCATCAAACTTTGGATCTCTAATTATTAACCTCAAAATCTGAATCAACTGTAGCATTTGCAGCAATTGGTAGAATGGATCAACGTGGCTCTAAATTTTGTCTCCAAAGACCTCAAACAGACCTAACCATATTGTTAATTTGAACTGCACATTCATACATTTTAATAAGAATTAATGTATTAAAATAAGTCGAACGTGTCAGATTATCAGACAAACAAAAATGTAACATGTCAAGAGTACTATTTTGACAAAGGAACACCTAATGTGTTGAGGACTAAGCCATGGATAATTGTTATTTTGACGAAGGGAAGTTGTAATTAATAATTTTCCTTTTCTTGAGAATAATTGCATATATAAAAAGATAGAAGAAACATAAAAAAAAAGGCAAAAAAGAATTAAATACGATTTATAAGCAGATACAGTACTGGGATTTTAATTTGAGACTTTGAAAACAAAAGCGCGTAGAGGTTGTAAGAGGGTAGACGTAAGATGTTATAATATAATCAAATCTCTCATCGCAGACCTTCAGATCTTGCTGTTCCAGTTTCCATTTCCAAATCCAATCCTCGATCTTAATCTCTAGGGTTCAAGTTCAATCTATCACAGATCAATGGCGGTTAAGCCAAGGCATGCGCGCCTTCAGACTCGCAAAACATCGTCTTCTTCCTCCACGCTGGTCCTCACTTTGCTCGTCATGTTCACTTTCGTGATCCTCATTCTTCTCGCCCTGGGAATACTCTCGGTCCCGAGCGGCTCCTCCGGCAACTCGGCCAAGGCAAACGATCTCAGCTCGATTGTACGGAAGAGTGCCGACAGGTGCGTGATGGGTCGGTTTGAGGTTTTATTTTTCTATTTTTTGGTTTCAATTCTGGTTGGTAATTTGGTAATTGTTTTGACTTTAATAGAAATGAAGAAGAAGGGGCAGGGGAGCAGTGGGTCGAAGTCATCTCATGGGAGCCGAGAGCATTTATCTATCACAATTTCTTGGTGAGCTTGCTTTAACTCTCTCACTCATGAAGAATTTATGATGTTTCTGAATTAGTAGCTTGTATTTCAGAAAAAATCGAAATGAGCATCTATGGTGTGTTGGAGTTTCTGATAATTGTGCCAATATATCTTGGGTAGCATTTAGTGTGGAATTAACGTAATTGCATATGGTTTTGGGTGAAATTAAGGCTTCATATATACCTGGATTTGATGCAATCTAAATTCACCAAAAGCTGAACCCAGTTGGCTAATTTTGGCAGACCAAGGAGGAATGTGAATATCTAATCGATCTTGCCAAACCTAGTATGCACAAGTCAACAGTAGTTGATAGTGAAACTGGAAAGAGCAAAGATAGCAGGTCTTGGTTTCTCACTTCATTCTCTTGTGTCATTTCAGTTAAAAGATGTAGATGGGAAAATCTGTTGTCTTTCTTTTCATTCCCTTGCTTTATCCCCTCATGCGCGGTGCAATTGTTGTATATCTTGTATGCAGGGTCCGTACAAGCTCTGGAACATTTTTGCAAAGAGGGCGTGATAAAATTATCAGGAACATTGAGAAGAGAATTGCTAATTTCACCTTTTTACCTGTAGGTATGCTGTTGAGCTCATGCCCTCTTATTTATGTATTTTTTGTGCCTTTTACTGATTTTTCTGCCTTCAAAGTTGAAGGTACTGCCTTCATGTGAACTACAATGTTTACCTAAAGCTATGATGTTCATCTATTAATAATGTAGCTATATTCCATACAATTCACGAGCTGTTTTTTACACGAAATACAGAACACGGGGAGGGACTTCAAGTTCTCCACTATGAAGTTGGACAGAAGTATGAGCCTCACTATGACTACTTTCAAGATGAGTTCAACACTGGGAATGGAGGTCAACGTATAGCTACGGTTCTCATGTACCTGTAAGTTTCATAGTGTGTCTGCCTAAACACCCTTACTTCCGGTGCACTACATAGACCCACTAATATTCTTCAGAAATGTTTTCTCCTCCCATGTGGTGCAGCTCAGATGTTGAAGAAGGGGGTGAGACTGTGTTCCCTGCTGCCAAAGGGAATATTAGTTCTGTGCCCTGGTGGGATGAGCTATCTGAATGTGGGAAAAAGGGACTTTCTGTTAAACCCAAGATGGGGGATGCGTTGCTTTTCTGGAGCATGAGGCCTGATGCATCTCTGGATCCTTCAAGTTTGCATGGTTAGTAGCTTACTCATAATTAATTATTGGCTTTGTGAAGCATCAATTTCAGGCTTCTATGATTCCAAAATATCCATCATGGAAAATGACATGTTTATGTGTGCTTCCTTTATGAATTTAATCCTAATTTAAAACATAGATTTCAATGATTTTTTTGTGTGCATCAGATTTCAAACTTTTATTAGTTCATTCACAAACATGCTGACTTGTAATACCTTTATTAATAATGAGTCTAATTTCTCTCCTGTTTATTTCAGGCGGATGCCCTGTGATTAAGGGAAATAAATGGTCATCTACTAAATGGGTTCGTGTCAACGAGTACAAAATTTAAACTATTACACCAAAGGTAACTATCTATACCCAAAATAGATAACTAACAGTTTATATGGTTGCTGCATTCTGTGAAGCTACCACATTCAGTTTCTCAAATTCCCAAAATCGGCCAATTGACTGTTCTATGCTTTTGTTCTTGTGTATTGCCTGGTTCAGGTTATCCTGTCATGCTATTTCTACATTTCAATTGTATAATATTGTTTTCTTTACGATTACCTCTGGCAGGCTATATGAGTTCTTATGTTGTAGTACTTGTCAACATCTCAAGCCAGAGCTTCAGTACTTGTGCTTCAAGTCTCATTTGTAACCTAATACACTGATCGGCGCCTGCATGCCACTTAGGTTTTGATGTACTACAGCTGCTCTTCTACTAAATCAATTTTTGTTTCTTAGCTATATATTCTTGTTATTACAACCCCTGATAAAATAAAACATCTATCTTCTATTTTTAATGGGAATTCCAACTCTCAGAAGGTTTAGGACATTGAGTTGTTGAAAAGAAACAGTAAAAAGAAATGAGCTTGTTCATTCACGGGAAACCAAAAAATTGCACGTTCCAATTGTATGTTTATTATATCTCATCAATTCATGTATTCTTGTATGGAATCAACCCATGTAAGGTTCACCCCAAACCCCGAGACAAGGATGATTCAAATTCGTGGAATTTCAAATCACACAATCGATGGACTTGCTACAATCTTGTGTGTAGTTTGTGTGACAAATCGCACGCGTGTAGTTGCCAGTTGGGAGATTTGTGAAGCATCAATTTCACGCTGTCAAATACATACACATGAGCATCACTCAAATACATGACGTCCGTACACACGAGCATCACTCCGATAATGTGACTTACTGTGGTTGACCTTCCACCTTTTGAAGATAAGTTTTCAATTTTCACGTTATGTGTTAACACAAGTTAAAACGCTCTAGCCGAAAACGAGGTCGCATTGATTGCCCTCCACACCTTATAAACCAAAAGTTAAAAAGTTAAAAATGGAAAATTTAGAAAACCATAAACGACACGATAATATCAAAAAAAATTCATCACGATTAATACAAACACTAAAACGCTGAATATTCTGATACAAGAATAGAATACTCCCACCAATATTCCATTATTTATAATGTAGTTGGGGTCAGCTCTGGGATTGAAACAACGTTTTGTTGCCGAACCATGTAGATTATTATTAGACTTGAGGAAAAATTGGTACAATGTTGAACTACACCTGCATGCCAATAGCCTTTTCTGGTTGATCTAGCTTTTGATCAGATTCCTGATGACATATTGCAAAATGCCTCCATGATCAAAATATGCCAGCTCGACCTGCAATGAAGAAAAAACAAGGGAATTTTGAAGCAACCTGAACTTGACAAGGCTAATAAAGATACGAAAGAAGCAGAGCATGATGCAGTCCATTACCTCTGTATCGAATCGTAGTGTACATACGAAGGATTTGCTATTATCTGTCACCACTGTAACATCCTGTCCGGGTTTAATTTCACCAACACTGCTTGGAAGATCGATGGTGTAACGTTCCTCACCAGTTAACCCAAGAGTGTCTGCGTCTTCCCCAGTCTTAAAACATAGTGGAATGATGCCCATGCCCACAAGATTACTGCGGTGAATGCGCTCAAAGCTCTTTGCTATGACCGCCTTCACACCCTGAAAATAATTATGATTTAAAGCAGACTTCATTAGATAAGTCAAAGATGGCAAACATATATTTGAATTAAAATGGAATGGGATACTGCCAGAGGGCATACCAGTAGCATTGGACCCTTAGCAGCCCAATCACGAGAACTTCCACTCCCGTATTCAGCACCAGCCAAAATAATCGTAGCATGCCCTTCACTTTTGTACCTCTGTTAATAAAAGTCAAAGAGCAAAAATTGTAGATTCAGGTGGGGCTTGAAGGCATCAACTTTAAAACATTGAATACAGATAATCTTCCCAAGGAATTTAAACCATTTTTGGATAACCTTATGTAAAAGTTAAGTTGAGTGGGCATTACCATGGCAGCATCAAACACGGACAGTTTCTCTCCAGTGGGAATATGGATTGTTTTGGGACCAACTTCTCCTTTCAAAAATTTATTGACTAGCCGAATATTTGCAAAGGTGCCTCTTGCCATAATCTCATCATTACCACGGCGACTTCCATAAGAGTTGAAGTCCCTTCTATCAACACCACGTTCCAGAAGGTATTTGGCTGCTGGACTGTCTTTGTGGATGCTACCAGCAGGTGAGATGTGGTCAGTTGTGATACTATCTCCAAAGTTGAGCAAGCAGTAAGCATTCTTCACTCCATGAGCGCCCGGAGGAGACATGGTCATATCTTTGAAATAAGGTGGCTCATGTATATAAGTTGATTTTGGGTCCCAGGCATAAAGAGTGCCATCCGGTACAGATAACTGATTCCACATTGGATTTCCTTTGGTGATTGCTTCGTATGTAGCCATAAACATATGAGGAAGCACATTTGATTGCACAACCTGAAGACAGAATAATTAGACCAACAAGAACTTCCAATCCCTCAATTTCTATAGTAACTGTACTAGTGAGTTCATTCCAAAGTTATCAGAAAAGTAAAAAGAAATTCCCAGTAAAGCAGTAGAGCAATTTACCTCCGCTACTTCTTCATTAGATGGCCAAATGTCCCTGAAAAATATCTTCTTACCATCTTTTCCCAACCCAATTGGTTCTGTTTCGAAATCAATATCTACCTGCAGCACAGCCAACGAATGAGATATTGCACCAAAAAGACAAATGTGACAGGCACAAAATCATTTGAGCACAACAAAAAAGGGCATATGCATATGAATAGCAGAAAAGAAGCATATAACATAACATGATACAGAGAGTAACAAGCAGCTGTGCAAGAACTTATGAGCTCCGTACCGTTCCAGCAAGAGCATAGGCAACAACAAGGGGAGGAGAAGCAAGATAATTGGCCCTTGTTAAAGGATGCACACGACCCTCAAAATTCCTATTTCCAGACAACACAGCGGCAGCTACAATATCTGTAAATGAGGAGAAATCAACTACTTAGTCACCTTGCAAGACTACATAAAGTAGCACTACTGTAGAAAATTTATAGAAAGTTTACCATTTTCTGTAATAGCTGATGCCACAGTGTCATCAATATCTCCTGAATTCCCAATGCATGTGGTGCATCCATACCCAACAATATGAAACCCTAACTGATTCAAATACTGCTGCAACCCACTGCAGGACAATACACGACTTATGATGAATACCTTACAAAAGTAGTATAACTTTCCAAAGATGTGGTACAGAGATTCTTAAAAGTACCTCTTTTGCAAGTATTTGGTTACAACCCCAGAACCCGGAGCAAGACTTGTCTTAATCCATGGCTTGACCTAATAAAAGACACATTGCACGTAGAATTAATTAAAAAGGCTCACTATAATGCTGAAATAAGATAAGCTTCCACACCATCATTATTCAGCTCCAAAAGTATTCAGTAGACCAAAAAACACGGGGGCAGCAATTTCTAGTGGTTCTAGCATAATATATTTCTTTTCTCACTTTCTCTTTTTCATCCTATGAATGATTATACCATTATGAGAAATGAGCTACAAGTAGAGACATCCAACCTCCAATCCTAATTCACAAGCTTTCTTTGCAACCAAAGCAGCTCCAAGCATTACACTAGGATTTGAGGTGTTTGTGCAACTGGTGATAGCTGCTATAACTACATCCCCATGCCTTAGCTGTGCTGGGGTTCCGTGAAATGTGAACTCTACAACTTTATTTTGAGATTCCTTCGGCACAGCAAAACCCTGCAATACCATGCAAGAAACATAAGAAAAAGAGAGAGGGTTGATGCACAATTACCCATTATGATCATATCACTAAAACTACTATGAGCAATAGTCTCAGTCATCAAATTAGTAAAATGGAAAACTAAAGGCCTGTTTGATAACCATTTCAATTTTAGTTTTCATTTTTCATTTTTTGTGCTAGAGTATAGAGGAAAATGAGAGTGAGAATGGGAGTGAGGATGAGATTGAGAGAGAGGATGAGAGGGGAGGATGAGAAGCAGGAGTCAGAAAAGTGAAAACAATTTCAAATAGATTTCAGTTTTTTGTTTTTGTTTTCACTTTTGTTACTCATCCCTCCCATCCTCCACTCTCATGTTCCCTCTCAATCCCATCTCCACTCTCACTCTCACTCTTTTCCCTCTATAATCTAGCACAAAAAATGAAAACTAAAAACTAAAATTGAAACGGTTATCAAACGGGCCCTAAGACACTGACAGTTTTCTATGGTCATCAACCAAAAACGAGTTATGATCCTTGCATTTTCTCTTCTTAATCAAAATCTTAAACGTCCATGTGTCACCATGTCCCATCCTTAGGATAAGCTTTTGAGGAAAAGGTTTTCTAACCATGGAAACAGAACAAATAGAAACTTCCTTACTCACAGAATCAAATTCTGGAATATTCAAATGAACCCGCAGTTTCCATGCCGTACTATATGAAAATTTGTGTTAATGCTGGAACTTCTCACCTTAAATCCAACTCTATTGTCAAGGCATGCGTGCCAATCCACTTTCATTTCTTTCAAAGTAACACGATCATGTGGCCTACAAGACTTATGCTTCTCAGTGGCACATCAAAAAATATCGAAATTAAAATTTGGTATTAAGTGTGTGCATAATAGCTTGATTTGACAATAAATTGTACCTCTTTGGACCTGATATGCATGGTTCCACTTCATTAAGATTTAGCTCCAGATAAGAGGAGTACACTCTCTCAACCTGGGGCTGAGTTGAGGAAAAATATTCATTCAAAAACCATATTGCAGAAGTTGTTCAATAGAATGGTATTCAAGGTCATGGGTGCGCATATTGTACCTCATTGTAGTCGACAAACATCCTATTAGCCCGTAAATAGGATTCTATCAGAGCAACCTGCATGGTAATTTTTATCTCAGCATATAAACAAACGGACAGGATAATGAAAATGTTTAAAC